AATTGTAGATTTACCAGACTGTAGACTGTACCATCAGTGTCCTCGAATGTTAAAACTACTAGAAAACAGAAACAAATATGATTTTTTTGTAATTTTTCTAACAAACTGTTAAAACAAATTTCAGGTTTTCATTTTTTTTAGTGAACAATAAATTATTTTTTAGTTGAAACATCAAATCCATGTGTTGTCCTAATCCACCCTTTGTTGGAAAAAAAAGCAGGCAGAGATTTATATTTCCAATTTCATACAATAATATTCATGTGTCAAAGATATTCATGAAGTCTGTAGCAGTGTAAAACTAAACAGTTTACAAATAAATTCGTGAATTAAATCATGAAGAATTTCGTGAATTTATTCATGAATAAATTGTCCAAGTAAAACAGCTATTAGAGAATAAAATTACATTTTAATGTAAATCAGAAAAAAATATTTGAGAAGATTAAGATATAAATTTTGAAATTCTTGTGATCTAATTACCAGAGTCTCTCCTTTACATGAGGTGAGATCTAAATATTTTCTTTGTAATAGTTTGTGGAGACCCTCATTTAATTGCTTTAAATAGATGATAAACCATTGAATCTTTTCAATTTAACATTGGCATAAGCTCTCATTCATTCATTCTCACCACGCCAACCACATTGATTTTGGACATGATTGCTTGTTCAAACAGTGAATATTTTTAGGCTATATTTATGTTTAGATCACATGAAGATAAATACACCACTACTTTTATAGAATCCTCATTTAAATTTTCCAGACAAACTGGCACTAATGCCACTAACCCTATTTAAGACCAGTTTGTGAGGTTTACTGTTAACACAGGTTTATTTTCGTAATTATCGTAAAGTACATTGTGTCACTCTGCGATATTTCTGAAATCAATGTTGTTAGATAAGTCGATTATTTTATTTGCTATAATTTCTAACAATCGTAATGGCGGTTTTCCACTAAACGGAGAGTTGAGTTTATGTCCTGTTTGTGTTTTCTAGAACAAAACAAAAACAAAACTGAAACAAACCCAAAAATCTTGTTTCCATCAAGCGGGCTACATTTTGTTCGAGTTTTGTTTTTGTTTTCAGTCCTTTTCCACTGGTTGTCACGAGGAAGTCAGAACACATTTTTCCAATAACCAGCCAACATGTTTAGAGAAGATTTTTTTATTCTTAGTTATGGCTGGTTTATACTGAAGTCCTTGTTATACGCGTGTGTGTACTGTGTTGTATATGTATTTTACTATTATTTTTTTCATAATGATTTTGTATTGCTACTATAATTATTTTTTTTGACGTGTGTAAACACTTTTTGTGTTCTAACACTATCTATCTATCTCTTTTTTGAATTTGTGATGGTGTAATACGGACCGTGGGGCCCACCAAGTTAAAATATTTTCAAGGTCATCATACTTCCGGTTACACCGGAAGTCGATACTAACTTGCTTATTTTAAATGAAATCCCCTGTATATTATTGCATTTTTGGAAACATCATCTATTTTTAAGTTGAAAACATATAGCACACTCCATACTTAGGATTGACCGTTTCCGAGATATTTCGATTTTTAAACAAAAATTGACAGATGCAGACTGTCAGCAAAATTTAGTTTTCCCGGTTTATTTTTTTGTGCAAATTGGACATTTTGTAGAGAAAGACCTAGACCTAGACACTTTATCAAATTTGACATGAAAAAAATTCCAGTTTTTATACAGGGTGGTCAAAATAAATTTATCGAATATGAAATTCAGAATATGTGGAAAACTCGAAATTTTTAAATGGCAACCCCTAATTTTTTTTTGCAATAATATACAGGGGGTATTTATATATATTTTTTAATAGCTATAATTCATTAATGATTAAAATATTGTTTTTGGGAAGAAGAAAACGCCAACATAGATGGATCACTTAAATAGAAAACACAACACGACCGTTTCCACTAAAAAGACTTGAGTTTCAAAACACGTCGAAATCTTTTGATGTGACCGCTTTCGAGCGGGATCTGAAAAACAAAACTCCAACTGTCGCAAAACACGCTAGTCTTCAAAAAGTTTGCGAAAAGTTACAGTTTTGTTTTACTCGACACAAGTTTGTGTTTTGTTTTTGTTTTGTCCGTTTAGTGGAAGTTTAGTGGAAAACCGCCTTTTTGAAGTGGGACCCGAAAAACAAAACTCCAACTGTCGCAAAACACGCCAGTCTTCAAAAAGTTTGCAAATAGTTAAAGTTCTGTTTTATTCGACACAAGTTTGTATTTTATTTTTGTTTTGTCTGTTTAGTGGAAAACCGCCTTAAGATACAGTTTTGATTCTTGATGAAAAGAAAATAGGTACTCATCAAAATAGTACTTTAGCCAACGTATCTTAATTTCTGATATATCTGAAATGTAGGTACTGGTCTCACTGCAAAGGCCATTTTAATAATAGATATATGCTAAAGCCCACCTTCCACTTGCAACAAAATGAGACCCTGATAAGTATATTTTGATATATTTAACAAATTTTTTAATCTTCCAGCGCTTGTAAGTGGAACATGGGCAGTCGCATGCGGACTGTCAGTCCACAATAAAGAACTAAAAATTTGTAATAACTTTTGTAGTCTAAAGAGTGATAGGTACATATATATATATAATAGTCAACGCCCATTTCGCCCTTCCACAAATAAGAAGTGGATCTTATTTTTCGACCTTAAATCGCCCCTAGTTCGAAAAGGAAGCGTTCTACGAAAAAATGTCAAGAGACAAAAAGTGTTTATTTTTGCCCAATTTACCTCAGAAAATTAAATTGCAGAGCGTTTTTTGCAAAATTTTTATTTTGCAATTTTTTTGTTAATAACAAATTACCTGCCATTCGGACACAAAGATGTTACTTAGGTTTTTTGTTCGCAGTAACTCAATGCATCGATTACAAAAGGTTTCATCCTGGCCTCTCCTCGTGGTCGGTGACCTTGACTTTCTAAGCATCTTTTTAGAGGTGGACCGTTCGTCTATTATAAGATACCC